CAAAATTCAGACTGCATTTTCCAAGCAGAACTACTTGTCAGAGTCCACCAACCCCTTCACCCTGCTGGACAATTCGATCATCGTGATATCATGAATATTATGCATGGTGTATTTTTATAACATCAAACCATGAATCATTTTTGTCATTTCGAAGATAAGATTTGTTAAATAAAAGTCTCTGAACTTAAAAAAAATGTTCCCTGAAATTAATATAAATTTCGATGAACTCCTTCTTCATTTTATGTCTTTCTACGAAGTTCACTGAAGTTCGGTGACCTTCTACAAAGTTTGCTGAATTTCTACAAAATTTGCTGCATTTCTAAAAAGAATGGATAAGTTTCCTGAAGAACTACGACATTCCTTGCAGTTTTACAACGATCCATGTACTTTTCCGAAGTTTTCGGAACTACTGCGAGATTCCCTAAAATTAAATGACGTTCCCTTATCTTCACCAGAACTTCTGTAAATACTCAATTTAATAAATCTGATTTCGAAAGTAGCTGTGAAGACATGTGAACCCTTATAAACGGGTACCATACACAAACGATATCATGGATGGTGCGCATAGAGTTGGAATGATTTCCCGAATTAGTGGTTAGGCACTTATGGTTGTTGTTTATGCGGGAAGGCATTTCGTCCATCTTGATGTAGTTATTTCCTAAATACACCTGACATCCCAGCTTGTGTATGTTCTATTGCTAAGAGTACCGTACCTGTCCAGGATTAGGGTTACCTTATCAAAAACTTGAAAAGGAGGACATTTCATTTGAGGTTTGGAGATTAAGGAGGACAATGATTCTCTTTCTTAACATTAAAGGAGGACAATGAGTTTTTTATCAAACGTTTTGATAATATGTGCGCTATCCCAAAATTCATGATGTGCAAAGGTTCAATTGAGATTGTTCATAACTTGTAGTCGTTACCAATTCAATTTGTCTTCTCGTTATACTTCTGAAAAATGCATCAAACTAGCCTTCATTCATTTTTGATACTTGGAAATGATCTAGTCTAGCTGATTTGCATGAAAACTACAGGTTTACAGCATTAAAACCATCCCAACTTTTATCATGTTTAAAAATCAGGATAGATGACATCGCTGATTGAAACCAACATGGAACATCTAAGCAACCTGTTAATTTTACCATTGATTCAGCTTAGGACTCTAAGGCCGCCGGTGTTGTTACTTTCTGTGAGTGAGCTTGCAGTTGCCACAAATCTCCGATTGAAGTGATTGTTCACAAAATCAGATACGTCAATTTGAATAGTTATGCTTGACATACCAAAAATCCCATAGAACCAGAACGTCAAAATCGAACACATGTTGGATTTAATCTATGTGGCTGTTTTCCATTTCTCGACTACTTTTTCGAAGGGACGTATCAGCTTTTGTAAACAATGCATTTGATCGTCGATTTGGCGTAACTGGTAGCTCACTCACGCATACTAACACTTAAACTTTACAGATAGAAAATTTTAAAATAAACTTGCTATTGTACCAGTCTTATTTATGGGAGCCCAGGAATCAATTTTGACAAACACCACCAATACAATATTGGACAGATAGAAAATTTTCAAATAAACCTGCTATTGTACCAGACTTATTTCAACTTATAACAATTTTGACAAACACCTAGAAAATCACACGATCAACAACAGAGAGATTTTCAAACATTATACTTTATTTTCGAAATGTAAAATTTATGTAAAAATTCAGAAGAATAGAACACAGCCTAAGCCTGTGTTCCATTTGATGAGTTTTCACTGACACTTGGAAAATAATTTATAATGTTCGAAAATCCTTCTGTGGTTGATTCCTTCAAAATTAAAAATTGATTCCTGGTTTGTCTGAAATAAGTCTGGTAGAATAGCAGGATAGTTTGTAAATTTTCCATCTGTCAAATATAAGTTAAAATTCAATACAAAATAGTCCCACCATTGAATGGCATTTGCTAGATAAGATGAGGTTGCACCATAATTAAACAAATAAGCTCTACAAACAACGCTCTTTGAAACCAATTTTATGAATATGTTGCTGGAAAAAAAAATGCAAGGATTAAAAAGGAGGATATTTTCGGGCAAAATGAGGGTGTAGAAAAATTATTGAAAAAGGAGGACATGTCCTTCTTTAGGATACCGTATGGTAACCCTAGGCCCCAGGTTGACCTAGTAGATCACATGTTATAAACTCTAGATCTATTTGTAAAACCTTGAAGATGTCTTCTAGGCTATCAATTGTAATTGAAAGCCTAGAAGAACTGATATTTGTACTCGAGAACTTGAAATTTGTATCGATAAAAATTAATTTCTTGAAATTATTCCTTCTAGTCTAGAAATGTCAAATTTTCAAAAAATTGTTGCTTTTGGAGCAATTTTATTAATCGCTGTTTAAAAGTAACATCGTATTTGCTTGACAACGGAATTCATAAAAAATAACTCGGCGAATGAAAAATATCACCCAAAATTCTGGAGGGAGGAGCTAAATAATCCTGGATGTGGCCTGGCCCCCATGTCACCCCCTTAGCTACGCTAATAACAGCAAACCAATACAACCGAATGTGACAATCTCTATTGCATTGAGTGTCCGAGTGTCACGAACCACTTGACACAGCGAAGATATGACTTCCATCGATTTTATAGTTCTGTGTCGAGGAAAGAGAAACGAGAAACGTATTCGATCATGAGTAGCCCATTGCTTTGTTCGAAACGATTTGGATTACCAACTCTCAGTCATATTATAGTCTAGATAGCAAGTTTATAAAGTTGAAAATGGAATACATTTTGCATTCATAGCTAGTTCCATTCAAAATTTCCACATCACAGTTGCAGTGGTTATACTGCAGTATACTCCACTTATAGTACGTTCAGACTACAGAGTTATGACATGTTATAGCGCTATCTTGATGGTGGTTTCTGTGTTGCAATTATTTGACAACCGTTATGACATGTTATAACTCTTCAGTCTGTACAGCGTTTTACTGTTTTACATCGTAGAACTCTGAAGAGATACGGCATCTTTTGGCGATCTTTGGAGCACTTTCAGGTCAAATAGTAAGAATAAACTAAATTTCTGACTCGACCTTCTCCGGTTTGAATAAAATTTTGCATAATTGTTTGTTATGATCAATCATTCACATCTGAGCTGAAATTTGGCCATTTTGAATGTCGCACAAAACATCAAGATGACGTTTTTGATATTTTAATCAAATCAACGCTTTCCAGAAAAAATTAACCCAATAAAAAAAATCAGTAACTTCGGGAAAAATAAGATCTGTTTTTATAACTTCTATAATAAAAAAATACCCTCTTTCACAATATTTTCCATTAAAAAACTAATAAAACATATTATCTTCTGTGAAAATTTCAAGTTGGACACTTAAGAATAAAAAAAAATCATACATTAACATTGTTAGGTAAATATTTTAAACTTTTTGTTTAAATTTTCTTTTTGTAAAACTGCACAGAAAACGTTTTTGAAATAATTGAAAAAAATACATTTATGGACATAATTTTATACAAAAAAAAAACGTATTAACAAAAATTTTAAAAATTGTTTAATGATTTTTGTTAAAAAATGTTCAACTTCAAAATTTCCCAGAAGACAGTATTGTTCATAGGCTTTTCAATGAAAATATTCAAAAACATATTGATGTGTATAATTTTTGTTTTTTGATCTTTAAAACCAAAATGTCTGTAATTTTTTTACCGTGTATATTTTTCCTGAAAAGTAAACAATTTTTTCCAACAACTTTGTCCCAAGCGTCATTTCGATTGGAAATGTTTTTTTTTTTCTTCAAAGAATGATTTGTTGAGAAATTTTGAGTGAAATGTGAAATGAGAAAAATGGCCGCATTTTAGCTCAAATGTGAATGATGGCCATAGGAAACAATTATAAAAATGTGCATGTAAATCGGAGAAGGTCACATCAGATCGATTCGTCATTTGGCGTGGAACTGCTCTTTGATCTCATTTTGGGTTGACTGTTAAATATCAAGGTTGAAGCAGCTCCACTTTCATGATTCGGTGCTATTAGACTAATGCAGTTTTGAAAACTTCAGCCGCAGTTGTGTCAATCAGGTTTGAAAAGGCTCATTACAGCTAAAATGCTACTTTTCAAAGCTATGACATATTATAATAACATACAATGCAATAATAGGAGGTAAAGTTTGTGTATGACACATAAACCTATCAATTTCGCTTGCAGAGTTTCACAATTAGCGATTAGCTATAACGAATAGTACAGAGTAATTACAGCTAAACTAGCTAATTGTGACCCTCTGAAACAGGTTTCATGTGTCATACACAAACTTTACCTCCTCTTCTTGCATCTTACATATTAACAACTATTATTATAATAGGTATCTCATAGATTCATTATTTTGAAAAGCAGCATTTTAGCTGTAATGAGCATTTCCAAGCCTGTTTCCAATCATGAGTTTATGAGATAAGCCTAAAAGTTAGAAATTGACCCTTAATACACAAATATTTGCATACCTTAAAAAATTACAAGATTGCGATACATGCTAAAACAATTACTGTCGATAAATAGGGTAAACGCTCCTATAGTTGCGGTACGTTAGAAGCATTAAGTTCCTATAGTTGCTCGTGGATTCTTTATCCGATTCGGTGTTGACAAGAACGGACTGTCATAAATTTAGTCAAAGAACAAACAGGCAAACAAACACTTAATTATTACGCTGGCACTGGAGCTCGTATCATTTGATTTAACCAGTGTCACTTACACGACTCCTAATCATATGGTATTCAAGATAGAGATACTGTTAATGATTATAGTTTCGAGAAAAAAAACGGAAATGTATGAACGAGATTCTGTTGGATGCAGTTAGTATTTGGGGGGTGGGTTGGGGGGGGGTAAGCTCATGTATAAATAGAAAGAAAGAGAGGAGGAATGGAAAAGAGACAGGATTTAGAAACAGAAATAAAGAACGGGTTCAACGGAAACATAAAAGGAATCACTAATGGCGGTCATTTAAGCCACTTACTGGTATAGATGCCGGTTTGTTCACAACCACAATATCGTCGTCCATGTGCACTATTGTGATTGGTTGACTAGTAACTGGAACTTCATGTCTGGAAAATACAACACTCATATGTAGATGAAATTCTGGCATTGATTTGGTTCTATGTTTGGATTATAAGGGGGGGGGGGGGGGTAATGAAACGAGTTTGGGATTTGTTTTCGGTTTCTATCGACGTTTGCTACAGATTTTTTTCCTGTTTTGATCTTACGGGGAGTTTGGTTTTCTAGTTACTGATTTCAATTTAGGGACAGCAGGCTACATAGAAAACGATAACGAAACAATAATGGATGACGGGGTTGAGGTTTGAGTAGCATTCCTTTATTTTCTCTTCATCCCTAATGGTAATGAATGGGTGGTCTGTACGTGAATCTCGTTTGGGGTTTTTTTTTTCGCTATGCTGAGACACGGTGGCAGTCGCTGTTAGGAACAAACGCGAAAACATAACACACTGACTGCGGGTGAAGCGGGTGGGTGATGGATGCTGTGGATGGCGATTGGGGTGGGGGATGAAACACAAAATGAAAGGATCGCTTTGGGATGTTTGGTCTTGTCACAATTTCAGCTGGCAATTTCGGGGCGGAGAATGCGTGAATTTTAGTGTGCCGGCGTGTGTGACTTTCATTGCTGCACGTCTGCTGACTGTGGGGAAAAAACTCGTGTTGGAACTTGCTTTCTCTCTGGGGTTCGCTTTTGATGTCGTCTGGCAGATAGGCACATTCACACGTGAACAGATTCAAACAAAATGGGAACATTACAGCGGTGGCAAATTGTGGCAAACTTGTTCGTTCTTTGGGTATAAGTGACTCGATTAGGTTTAACGAACGGAGACACATAGAAACCATTTGCGAGCGAAAAGTTAATTGAGTGCCATGCGGTTTCACTCCGGACGATCGTTGTGCGATTCTCTTTGAGTGGGAAAGTTTGATGTTATATAAGGAAAATCGGACAATTAGCTTATAAATAGAATTTATTATTTTGCTTTTTTGTGACGACGAATTTCATGCCTAATCCTATGGGTTTCCATCGAATCCCATTCCATTTACCTACCACGATACAGAAACACACAGAACCTTAAGTGTGTTATTGTACATATAAATCAAAAATATCTTTAAGTCGCTGATGAATTGACTTCCGACGCGACTGGAAGCACTGCAAACGAACTGTCATAGGAACCAAAAATAACAAAAAACGTTTAAGCCATGATTTTCGTATTAAAGTACGGAAGTTGGAAGTCAGACTGCCGAACTTTAGTTTAGTGCTGGCAAAACAATATCCTTGCGTAAAACGTTAAAATCACACTTTATTGTGCAGCATTTCTATTTCTTCTTCTGCTTTGACTTTTTCTCAAATGAGGTTTACGTCCGCTCTAAGCAGACACAATACAGTTGAAAGCAGACATAAAATTCAAGTTCGGTTATGTTGATAGAGTTGTCAAGAGGTGCGAAATGGTAGACCCTATTAGACTATTAGAATTCATGATTTAGGAAGGGTGTTGAATGGCTTCGTCAACTCTTTCAGGTGTCGTATTTTTCAGATTTTTTTTTTACCAATTATAGTTTACATAACAACCGAGCACCATAAATTTAAGCAAGTGCGATGTTTCTGAACCATCTTGCCCCTTAATGCCACACAATGTGCCTGACCGTTTTGATATGTGTTGTGAATTTTTAATGTGTAACATATATCAAATTAAACAAGAAACTTGTGGAGGTATATCCATCATTTTCCAGGATGCCTTCTAGAACTGGCTGTGTTGGTGTTAGATAAGATTAGATTTTATAAGATAAAATTGATGATTTAAGTCTTCGTGTATATATTTTAACGATGTACTTAACACTTTAAAACATTCAAATATATATATATATATATATATATATATATATATATATACAGCCATTCCATAGCAAAATGATATAGTGGTTTTCAGAATTTAGTAACAATTGGAAGTTTTGTTCCTTATCAAAAAATATAAGACCCGTATTTTTTCATTAGGGTGACCATTTCCATGTAAGGGTGGTCCAAAAAATCGATTTTTTCTATTTTTTCCAAAAATGACGTTTTTTTTAATTATAGCTTCAACTGTGGTTCAACTGAACTGATTTGAATGATCAAAAAATCAAATCGAAGGTTATCAAAAATACTATAAAAAAAATTAGAAAAATAGAGTTTTGTATAGAAGAACTTTGATTGTATTTGTTTTTTAAGGTTTTCACAATGGGCGTTACACGTTCTTTTATTTTTCTTTGAAAATTTAGGCTTTTCTACACAACATATCAAAAGGTTATTAAAAATACTTTTCAGAAAAAAATATAAAAAGTTTGATAATTTCAAAAATTGTAACTCAAAAACAAAGAAAAATAGATCGCAAATTTTTCGATACGTTGTGTAGAAAAGCCTAAATTTTCAAAGAAAAATATAAAAACATGCTACGCCCATTGTCTAAAAACCATGAAAACTTTAAAAAAAAACAAATACATTAAAAGTTCTTATATACAAAAAACCATTTTTTTTTTAATTTTTTATAGTATTTTCAATAACCTTTCAGTTGATATTTTGATCATTCAAATCGGCCCAGTGATTTATGATTTAAAAAAAAATAATCATTTTTGGAAAAAAATAGAAAAACAATCGATTTTTTGAAAATGGTCACCCTGATGAGAAAATAAAAAAAAAATACGGGTCTAATATTTTTCGATAACGAACAAAAATACCAATTGTTACGAAATTCGGAGAACCACTATATCGTTTTGCTATGGAATGGCTGTATATATATATATATACACTACTTCGGCCTAATCACCCATTTTGGGCCTATCGACCAGAAAACACCCAATAAATCCATTGTTTCACAGTTAACAAATCAATCATGCGCACTGGTCACCCACCATAGCCGGTCGAACTCCGGACGAAGCTAGAACAGCACTACCGTTCATACTGGCGACAACGCTCTGATGAGACAACGAAACCCTACCCCAAGCTCCTCCCCTGATCCTATCTTTCGAAAATGTACCCTTCTAACCTCGAGTAAGCCGCGAGTAATCGGCCCAACTCCTACTAGACATAGAATTAAGTGAATTTTGTTACACACAGTGAACAATGAATTATCGGCTCCGTAAAGCTAACGCGATTGAGCCTCCCAAATAAACGAACTAGATAAAAAAAAAAAATCAATCATGCGTTCAGCAGGCGTGATATGAATGTTTACAACCATTTTTCTCCAAAACAAGCGCTCCGACCGAATCAATTTTTATCTTCATCCGATAGGCCGAAGTGAATTCAATGGCGTTTGAATGGCGTTTCAATGCATTATGCCTAATTTAGAATCCGTAGGCCGAGTTTGAGGTGAAGGAGCAGTGTTAGATTTTTAACAACATCACAACAATTTGATTCTCTTTAGCAAATCTTACGGTACGTACGGAAAGATAAATACAGTTAGAAGTCATCTGCAGTGCTAACATTCCATTTTGTGAAAATAATCCACTCAAAAATTAGAGGAAGAGGGCGGGTTGCGCTTAGTGGGCCCAACATAAGATCTAAGCCCTACTTCGTCAAATTATACTTAAAAGGCCACCACAAATTAAATGCTAAAATATGCGCCATTAATAGTTCGAAAAGTGTCTAGAACAAGGTCACTCTTTTTATGTCAGTAAAATTAGGGTGGATCATAAAATTGGTGAATTGAAAATACAAACTTATTTATTATTTTAGGTAGACCAAAAACCTGTAGAACAATCAATTTGAAGCAACTTTGCTGAAGTAGCAACCTGGTTGCTTCAGCAAAATATGCATCATCAAATATTCTAAATGTGTCCACTACAACGTTTTTACGAGAAATGAACGTATTATTTTTTTTTTAAATAAAACTGATTTTTAAGGAGCCACCCTACCTGCTTGTTTAAAATAATCATAGCTCATGAACCATAAGAGATATAAATTTGATGTGATGAGCAAAGCTGCTTCAAATAGATTGTTCTAAAACTTTATAAAACACTGCATTGCACAGTGGTCCAGAATGCAGATTTAGGTGGAATGATATGTTTTGAGTCTAAAATTGAAACTTTAGACTAAAAGTCTCTTCTACAAAATTGTTCCTTATAGCTATGCCCTCATTTTTATGACAATGAATTCTAGGGTGGTTCCTATTATCATTAAAATCAAAAATCTAACTTATTTGTTTGAATAAATTAAGGTATAAATTCTCCGACAAAGTTATAGCTGAGCTAATTTCAAGCAACTTTGTGGAAAACAACTTTTTTGTATCTCTTAAATTGGCCGATTTAGAGCTATTTTCTTGAATTGAGTTAGGGTGGCTCTAAAAAAACAGTTGTTTTGCTCAAGTTTTCTTATTTAGAATTTCTCAGCAAAGGTGTCTTCAAATAACTTTTAGATCTTAAGAAGGCGCAAATTTTTGCCGCACAAAGCTTGTCAATATCTCTCACCGATCAAGAGTTATTGACGTTTTTAAACTAAAAATATGCACTTTTCAAATGTTAATATCTCTGGTTGGGACAAACAAAAAAAAAAGTTTTTTTTACGGCATTTGAAAGGGCGTATTTTATTCTCAATAATATAAAAAATTGGAGGCATGTTATTTTTTAAACTCGTATAAAATCAATTTGAATTTATTCATATTTTTTACTATATTCGGGTATATATTTTTTATTAGAAGAGATACAGACAACAAATCGTGCCATAAAATCCGATTAAGTGATCAGAGATGTTATGCCTAAGAACATTCTGGCGGCGCCGACTGGGATTGAACCCAGGCCTGCTGGGGTGAGAGGTAATCACGCTTACCACTACACCACCAGCGCCGCAACTCTACAATAATGTCGAACTTTATTTGAGTTAATCATGACCTCTAAACATGAACCGTAAGGACCACCCTAATGTTTTGAACATCTACAAGCCGTTTATATATCCTAATATGGGCACTATTTAAAAAAAAAAGTTATTCATCAAAATCAAGTTCGTGATTGCACTAAGCAAATTAATGTCATCCCAAAGTGGATTAATTTCATCCATACATCTCCAAAATTAGAAACAAAC